CTGAGGCCTCTCCCCCCCGCGCCTCTGGCCTGCGCCCCAGTTCTGTCTGCGTCCATAAGTAAATCTTTAAAATTACGTTAGTGTCCAGGATACTGCCGGTGTTGAAGCTCCTGCGCGCGGGTGGCAAAGGCCTTGGCTTGGCCACATCTGACTGCTGACCCCGGGCTTGGAGGCGCTGGCGGCCCCCTCCGCGGGGCACAAGGGGGCCCCCCGAGTTCCCCGCGCCCCCCTGCCCTGGCCCGGCCTCCTGGACCCTCAGGCTCTCTCAAGCCCACTGTGACTGCTCGGCGTGTGGACACGGCGCGTGGCTGCGTGCTCTTAGCCTGTCCGCGTGGACTCAACCCTGCCCACAGGCCTCCGAAGGCTCCAGACAAGCAACAAGAGACAGTGGCCCTGGTTGGGAGCCGCCGCGCCCCGACTCCCCGCCCAAGTCTGAGGGCAGCGGCCGCCTCCCGGGGACTTCCACACTGCGTCTCTGCGGGACTTGGGGCCACGAGGGACGGTCAGCACCCGTCTGGGTGGACAGGGGACAGCACAGCCTCTGGCGCCTCGTGGGCTGAGTCACCGCCACTGGGAAACTTGGGGTCCGGCGAGGAGAGTCGGGGCTGTGCCTGAACTTGCGGACGGTGTCGGAGGCACCAGCTGCCCCTCCCCCCGCTGTTTCCCCACACCCGGAGGCCTCTGGCCAGGGAGCTCTCCAGACCGTGGAGGGTGTGGCCGTCGCCCCGTGGTTTCTCAACAGTGTCCTTGCTGGGCAGGAAGCTGCGGGCAGGGACTCCAGGCGCTGTTCTGGGGGGGCCCCAGCACCCAGGCAGAGGGGCCTGGCTTGCAGCAGGTGCTGCCCCCGCCCAGCGCCACAGGTCTGGGGGCAGCTGACCAGCCTGCCCGGGGCCAGTGCCACGCCCTCTGATCCACTGGCCGCCCCCAGCCCAGCCGGGCGGAGAGTGGAGAAGGAGGGCCCGGGCCTCCGAGGGTCTCTGGTGCCCTGAGCCCCAGTTTCCCTCTTGCAGGAACCCCCGGAGGGGCCAGGCTGGGAGACTGAGACAGGAGCCGAAGCTGTGGGAGCGGGGTGGCCCGAGCGGGGAGCCTGCCCGCTGGCGCCCCGCCCCCATGCGCTGGCTCCCCG